ATGACGACCTTCAACCACGCAACTTCGACGTCGTAGCACTACAGGAACTTTGCTGGACGGGACAAAAAGTATGGAAAAGCGGGCATCGAGCGGCTACTTTCTACCAGAGCTGTGGCACCACCAACGAGCTGGGAACCGGCTTTGTAGTGCTGGGTAAGATGCGCCAACGCGTGATTGGTTGGCAGCCGATCAACGCGAGGATGTGCAAGTTGAGGATTAAGGGCCGTTTCTTCAACTACAGCATCATCAACGTGCACTGCCCACACGAAGGGAGACCCGAGAAAGAAGCATTCTATGCACAGCTGGAGCAGGTGTACGACGGCGACGTCATCGGCGACATGAACGCTCAGGTAGGACGGGAGACAATGTATAGACCGGCAATCGGGCCAAACAGCCTGCATGCCGTATCGAACGACAACTGCCAACGATTCGTGAACTTTGCAGCCTCTCGGGGTATGGTAGTTCGAAGTACCTTTTTCCCCCGCAAGGATATCCACAAAGCCACCTGGAGATCACCTGACCAGCACACAGAAAACAAAATCGATCACGTTCTAATCGACGGGAAATTCATCTCCGACATTATCAACGTCCTCACGTTCCGCAGTGCGAACATAGATTCGGACCACTACCTAGATGCAGTATGCATGCGCTCAAAACTCTCGACGGTGCATAACACACGTCGAAGTCGAACGCCGCGACCCAACATTGAGCAACTACGGGACGCCGGAGTTGCCCAGGACTACGCGCAGCAGCTGGAAGTTGAACTACCCACGGAAGAGTAGCTTGGCACAGCTTCTCTTGAAGATAGCTGGAGGTACATCCGTTCCGCCATATGTAGTACTGCTGCAGCGGCACTAGGTACTGTAATCCCGGACCGAAGAAATGACTGGTTTGACGGCGAATGCAAACTGGTAGTAGAGGAGAAGAATGCAGCACAGGCGAGAATGCTGCAACACCGCACGAGATTGAATGTGGAGCGATACAAACAAGCGCGGAACAGACAAAACTCGGTTTTCCGAAGGACGAATCGTCAGCAGGAAGACCGAGATGGCGAGGCGATAGAAAATCTGTACCGCGCAAACGACACACGGAAGTTCTACGAGAAGCTAAATAGTTGGCGCAAAGGCTACGTGCTGCAAGCCGATATGTGCAATGACTTGGACGGTAACCTTCTCACGAACGAGTGTGGGGTGATTGAGAGTTGGAAGCAGTACTATGACGAGCACCTTAACGGTGAAGCAGCAGAAAACGAGGGTGGCACGGCAACAGACCTTGAAGCACGCGCAGAAGACGACAGGCTACCGGTCCCTGATCTTCAAGAAGTTGAGGAGGAGATCGGTCGGCTGCAGAACAACAAAGCAACTGGTGTAGATCAACTACCAAGTGAGCTATTAAAATACGGTGGTGAAGCACTGGCTAGAGCGCTGCACTGGGTAATTGCCAAGATTTGAGAGGAGGAGATATTACCGGAGGAGTGGATGGAAGGTGTCGTATGCCCAATCTGTCACCATTTGCAATAGAGTTCGTGGGGCAATACCAGGTGGGATTCATGGGTGACCGCGCTACCACGGACCAAATTTTCACGATTCGGTAGGTTCTGCAAAAATGCCGCGAATACAACGTGCCCACACATCATTTGTTCATCGATTTCAAATCCGCATACGACACAATCGATCGAGATCAGCTATGGCAGATTATGCACGAGTACGGATTTCCGGATAAACTGACGCGATTGGTCAAGGCGACGATGGATCGAGTGATGTGCGTTGTTTGAGTATCGGGGACACTCTCAAGTCCTTTTGAATCTCGAAGGGGGTTACGGTGATGGACTTTCGTGTCTGCTGTTCAACATCGCGTTAGAAGGTGTGATTAGAAGAGCTGGGATAGACACGAGTGGCACGATCATCAGGAAGTCCATCCAGCTTCTTGGCTTCGCCGATGACATTGACATTATGGCACGGAACTTTGAGGTGATGGTGGAAACGTACATCAGACTGAAGGCTGAAGCTAGACGGATTGGACTTGCCATCAACGCATCAAAGACAAAATACATGAAAGGAAGAGGTTCTAGGGAAGACAATGTTAGCCTCCCACCCCGAGCTCAGATTGACGGTGACGAAATCGAGGTGGTCGATGAGTTCGTATATTTGCGCTCACAGGTGACCGCCGAAAATGATACCAGCAGAGAAATTCTAAGACGCATTATGGCAGGGAATCGTGCCTACTTTGGACTCCGGAGGACGCTCCGGTCGAATAAAATTCGCCGCCGCACGAAGTTGACTGTCTACAAGACGCTGATTAGACCGGTGGTCCTCTACCGCCACGAGACCTGGCCTATGCTCGTGGAGGACCAACGCGCCCTTGGTGTTTTCGAACGGAAGGTGTTGCGTACCATCTACGGTGGAGTGCAGATGGATGACGGAACGTGGAGGAGGCGAATGAACCACGAATTGCACCAGCTGCTGGAAGAACCATCCATCGTCTACATTGCAAAAATTGGGCGACTACGGTAAGAATGCCGCACGACGACCCAGTGAAAATGGTTCTAGAAAGCGACCCAACAGGAACAAGCAGAAGAGGCGCACAGCGGGCAAGGTGGATCGACCAAGTAGAAGGTAACCTGTGGACTCTGCGAAGGCTGGCGAACTGTGGCCATGGATCGAGTAGAGTGGAGACGACTTCTTCGGACAGCAGAGGACAACAAGGCCTTAGCCTGATTGGTAAGGTATGTACGGTACTTTCAGGTTAGTTTTCATATCATGAGGGAAGTTACATAATTTTCAGGTAAGCTCCTGAAACTTGAAAAGTCCAGAGAAGTAATGAGAAGTTTATAAATTTTAAGAGAAGTTCATTTTGAAGATCGAAATCTTTATGAAAATTGCGAGTAGTTCAGGTATGATCAAAGTACTTGATTTTAATTAAGAAAACTTCAGGAAAATGGCAAAAACTAGAACAGCTGTGAAACTCCAAAAAATCTTTGAAAAGTATTTCTAAGTTTGCTCGCGAGCTAATTGCATTCACGTTAAACCCTGTGTCATATAGAGGAAACTAAATTGTATCTTTTTACTTAGTTGTTGTTCCCACCGCCTAGAAGACACCTCATACTATATTTTAAATTGAGCGTCCTATGAAGATGGTTTCTTGGGTAAAGTTGTGCAGTAAATTTGGGATGTAAGAAAACTCTCAAGATTGGTTACATATGTCAATGTTAAAAGTGTTAAACTATTTTAGATCAAATCAATCTGGGACTGAGAGAATGTGGGATCTTGAAAAAACTCAAGACCCCTGATTTCCCTCCTGAAAAAAATTCTAGGTTTTGGAACTTTCAGGGATCTAAAAATTTAATAATTTTCTATAGAATTCTGACGAGAATACCTATCCCAAGCAACACACATTTTTTTCCTTGATTTGTTTTCCGTCGATCTTGTTTTTCCGTCCTGAGCACAAATGCTACCGACACCAGGGAAGCAGCTCCCACATCACGACCCTACCTATCGACCCATCAACACATGAACCGGGGACCAATGGCTTTACTTCCCTTCCGAAGGGAAGCTTTGAGTTTTAATATGTATCTATAAAGGTTGTATAAAATATGCTCCTACTCCTATGCCGTATGCATATAATGTTGTAGTTGAACAAACTCTCCAAACCAGTGAAAACAAGGGATTTTCAGAAGTTGTGATAAACAAATTGTGCAATTATTATTAGGCATGCAGCTGAACAAAATCAAAACGAAAGCGTTTTTCCAACTACGATTTGTTACTTGGGTAGTGTCAATGGAGAGCTAGTCACTCGCTGAAAATCAGAGCGGTTGCTTGAAAACCCGCCGATAAAAAACGGAGGATAGAACTCAGTGGGTAACGCCTTCTTCGGGAGAAAACTGTAGCTCCTTTAACAACACTTTTCTCTCCGTGTATCTGCACTTGACCGGTTCATTTAGTTTGAGCTTTTCTTGCACCGATTGCTCACAAAAGCTCCTACCTTTGAACTGGAAGTGGCTTTCAATTTTCTCTCACTTGCATTGAACCGTTTTGTTTTCGCTCCATACGCATGAAACTGAAAACCACTACCGTGCAATCGTATAACATGCTAGATTAGTGCATCTTTCATCGATCTCTGTGTTGAAAATATCTGCAAATATCTTACAACGGCCGTGGCGATCCAAAGAGAAAGTTGAAGAAGAGAATCGATCAATGTTGATGGGACCTATTGCAAAGTGTCGAGAGAGTTCAGATAATCGAATATTGGTCCAATTTGCAGCATCCCCGCCTTGGTGGAGCACGTGCTGCCGTCGAAGTATCTCTGCCGGACCACAGCCCCGATGTAATTCTCATTTTCCATTAAGTTTTTAAAATGCTGTCTGTCTCTTTCGGCGGTTAATCAGAGCCAGTTACACGTTGCGTTAATGTCATTGAAACCTATCTTTTGATGCAGGCCTTAAGTCTGACCTTCTGCCTAAGCTTGACGAATACACATATGCGTTCACAACTTTCTCTCGTTTCATTCTCTTCCTAGTTCGAATAGATATGTAAAGCAGAGATAAGCGCATAAGCCCCTTCAGAGCTGGTGCTGCAGTTTTGAGTTTGGTGTGAACGCTAGAGGTTCAGAATTGTACATTTATCCGGTGAGTGTTCATTGACATCGAACTGGTCCACTAGCAATCAACATGCTTAAGGCCCTAGGTAACATACTACACGCAACCGCAACCTAGGCAAAGTAGGCAAACGACATAATCTTTCACCACTAGGTATGGGTGGAAAAAACAGAGAAGAAACAGAGGTCTTTCCCAAGATGCGATCGTTGTTGTGAGTTGTCTAGTGAAAGAGCACCACTTGTTTTGCATCCGTGTTTTGACCGAAACCGAGTGTGTTGGTGCCATCTGTAGGGGCATGCCGTGGCAGACATGTTTCTGAACCGATGCGACTCACTCTAAATTGATTCAATTAATTCGCTCTCATTCACTCTCTTTCGCACACCAACCACGCTGGAATCCATCGTCTCCGCGCGGTCCAAGCTCAATTAGTCGGACACACTTAAGCCGTTCGGACGTGTTTTTGTTTTCGACGTTCAACAACAGTTGCGCTGGAATTGGGATTGGAAAGTGTTGGTTTGCTACTTTGTTATGCGGATATCTTCGACGAGACAGTTTACAATCGGGGTGGCTGTTACAAGAACAATCGAGTAAGTGCTTATCAGCTCATTGAGCCACCTGCAGAAATGTAATCTTCAACAATCGATGTGCTATCAGTATTTTTTTTTTGATGGAGTGAAGTGCACTATCGATAGAAGCGTCTGGTGAATACAGGTTTTTTTCTTCTAATCGCTGTGCCGATTGGATGTTGAACCTCCGATTAGTGTGCCTGAACGGTGTAATTTAACTAAGTGATCAACCGTGAGTGTAGCTCTCATATCCTTGGGCTGGTTTCGTTTTGTAACGCAGTGCGATGTATGCTGTATAGTAATTGCGCTAATACGTATTAGCTATGAAGTGAAGGAACGTGCTCAAGACAATATATTTGAAAAGTGAGGTAATTCTTAATCACACATACGCAAAACGAAATCCAGCTTCTTTGGATGGCATTCGGTGGCAGTAAATGGAGTTGCTACAGTGATGGTATCTGTTATCAAGATTGCCAAAGTAAACTGTCGTTGCAACTTCGGTAAACAGATAAGCGTTCGTATCAATAAGTATTTGTTTGTTTGTGGAATTTAACCAAGTATGCTTCATTTGATTGGTAATTTTTATCAGGATTGATTATCATTGAAATGAGTTCTCTGCAATCTGAGTTCTAGATACATGGGCTTCCGCCCGGTTGCTACATGGTTATGCAACTCACGCAATGGGCTTGTTTGCAATTCTATGCACGAACTCAACAAGCTGATTTATTCATCAATTGTTTAAAATATAATGTGAAAATGCTGCATTAATGATGTACAATTGTTTTACCAACTGCAGGCAGTCGGAAATTTTCCATAACAAAAACATTACGAAACGATCAATCTGCCGACCAAATGCATACCTAATGCCTTTTTTCATGTAGTGTTTTTTGATGATCCCAAGAGAGGTTATTTTGCTTTCTTTTACCTACATTGTACGCGATCCCTTTCTAGTTTGCTTCAATGCGATCTGTCTATGATGCGAGTGTGAGCGTTTGTATTCATGCTCTGAAAGTGTAGGCTGATAAGGATGTTTAACGAAACGGAACTGAATCACCATGCTGGCTTACTACCATTTGTATCAGTACGGATTGCGAGTGAGAGCGTCGTTTACACTTATTCCATACTATCTGCAGAGATGATTTGTGTTATGATTTTTGATAATTTGACGAATGCGATCACGTTAAATACGGGTTTGCGTCTTCTTATCTTTCTTTCAAAGAAGTGTATACACTAGCCTTGATGTACGTCTCGTCGTCCATCACGACGCACCTCGCCTTCTTCAACCTCTCCCGGTACAGCTTCCTGGTGCGGGTTTTGGCCATCGTGTGTTGTTTGTCTTCCGGTTCAGTGCCTTCCGGACCTTGTATACGTGGGTGCCGGCACGTTTCATCGTTTTTTGGACAAGCCAGATGAAAAAATCCACCTTCTTCGCCGCATCGCGGATCGAAAGATTCGGCTGACGCTTGAACAGACTTAACACCTTCCTGGCCTTCACAGGGGCAGCTGTCTTCGGTTTTCTGTCACAGCCTGCTGGGTCGTCTGGGTGTCCTTGAATGACTTCATCACCCGGGAAATCGTCGAATGATGGATTCCCAGGTGTTTCCCGATCCATCGACGGCGCACAACATTTTTTTTGCTGATCTGCTCTTGCTGATGAAATTCTGCCATTGCACTTTCAGTCAAAATTTCAACGCATTAAACTATACGCTAAAAAGTCACAAACTAATCAATGTGTCTAATTTTTTTTTCGAGTACAGTCTTTATTTGGGTTTTTGGTAAGTAAATGAATAGCATCGTTCCATTTCTCCATACAAAATTTAAAATTCTCCCGCAAATCGATATTATAACCAAATTCGTTCAAATTTGACACCGTTATTGAGGGCCTCAAGACACATCGGAAGAGCAGTGGGGAACACGGGGCTGTGATTCACCATACAAACTTGATACACCCTAGTGTATAACCTTGTTTGAAAAAAAAGATTAGAAGGCACAAACCCGTGTTTAATATGATCTAGGTATTTGATCATTCGTTAAATAATCAGCAAAGCAGTGGGGAACAGGGGGTTGTAAATTTGACCCACCCTAGTATACACTTTTAATCTGCAGAATCAACTTTCGATGCGAGACGTGACATAATCTAGTTGAACACGCTTTCTTCCTGACTTGTTATGCCTCTTACGCGGATGTTTTACCGGCTTTCAACATCATGTTCTGTGAAGCACTTCTACAGTTATCATTTAAGAGTTTTCTTTGCCAACCATGCAATTCGTATATTGTGTGGTAAAGCGTTTTCAAAGCCCCAGGCATGTGGCCAGAACCGGACGAGAGTTTTAACATCAATGTACACAAGAATGAAATCAAGATTAATGACGCGAATCAGCTAAACACCTAAAAAAAACTCTATAATAAAGGCATAAAAAAAAATTAAAAACAAAAAACAGGATTATTGCTGGGACCACATTGATCATATATGAATTAGCAACACGGGTCAGACTTCATTCACCATAGGTACACATACAGCGATAAAGTTAAGCTTGGCATTTATGTTGTTCTTCTTCACATCTACACTAAATTCCATCATCGACAACTGATGAAGTGATGCAAAATATCACGAAACTCACGCGAGATTCATTAACGCATTAACTAACTATCGCTGCCAGACCGTTTTATCACGCAGCAAGAGATAGAACCATGAACAGTGCACGGAGATCCAGAATGGGAATTTATCCGGAATATTAATCCTATAACCTTTGCGGTAATATTTAGATGTTTGGTGTCTTTATCTTTTTTTTTTGTTTTTTTAACTCTTTATTTGTTTCAAATTCTAAATAAATTACATTTCATTTTAATCTAGGTGCTCCAGTTACTACAGTAACTTACCAGCCTTAATTGTTTAAGTGTTTTTACATTGTTATTGCCTTGGCAATTCAGTATTTCAGGTCTGGTAGTGAGTAACTTTTTAGTGACTTGGTCACTTTTTTCAAGTCAGTCACTAAAAAGTCTCTTTTTTAAAGGCCAAGTCACTAAAGTCACTTTTTCTTGTAATCAGTTACTATTTTCAATATTTTTTACGTGAATTTATTTCAAGATACATTATTCTTCTTGCGGTGTGAAGGATCTGATAGTCCAATCGATGCCTACTTGTTGGTCTAATTTCCGAACAATTCGAGGGTGTTGTGCTTCTATAGAGCTTTTTGACTTTCTCTATCTACTCATTTTGGCTAAATAAAATTCCCTGAGTTTTCCAGGTTTTCCAAAACTTTAACGGATAATTTCCATGTTTATAATAGGAAATCTATTTTTTATACATGACAATTAGTTTTAAAGGAACAGCTTTACAATAAAATTAATAAAATGTTGAAGTTTAGCACTTACTTAATTTTAGTACATCTAAGATCGTATTCCATGTACAAGTTCAAGATATTGAAAATTGCAGCAAACTGCGGGAATATAAGAAAAGTTTACATTCTGAAAATATGGACAATTTTCTGGGAGCTTTAAAAACTTTAAAGTGGCTCTATTAGCTTCTGAAAAAAAAATGCAAAACTTTAAATGAAGTTCCAAGAATTTTAGATGACTTCACCGATAAGAGAAGTTCATAAATATACAGAATTTGAGGAAAAGTGTGGAAACTTTCAAGAAGCTCTAGGTACCTCAGAAAAGCTAGAACTAGAGATCTAGCTAGTCGATTAGTCAGTTGTCCCACAGCTGTCTACAGCATCAGTCGAATGTTTATTTCGGTGTGAATCACGCGATAGCCTGTTTTTGAGACTCATTATTGATGAATCTACGGGAAACTGAACCAGTGCATGCGACACCTAGGTTTGAAATCCAAAAAAAGGAGACCACAATCCAGGCAATCATCGATAAAAAAGCGAGAATTCTACAAAGGAGATTATTTACAACCCTCACCACAGCACCTGAACCATTGAAACGAGTGTCCGTTCCATTTGATCAAGATATTACTTGTAAACTAAGACCACAGTTAAAACAATTCGGATTAGATTTAGTTTTCACCAGTAGACATAACCAGTTGAAATCATTGTTAGGATCCACTAAAGACCCAGTTAATGTTTTAGGTAAAGCAGGTGTATATAAAATAAGCTGTAATCATTGTAACAAAGTATATGTAGGACAAACCAAGAGAACTTTAGCAACTAGATTTAAAGAACATATAGCGGAGGTTAATAAGGCCAAAAAGCAAGAAGAAAAGGGCCTAACATATGATTTCAAATCAAAGGTTGCAGAACACATATTCACAGAGGACCACCAACTATCGACGGAGGACATAACGATTTTACGAACCGTATCTACACCATGGAAATTGGATGTTGCAGAAAGCCTCGAGATCAACAAACAACGTAATTCAACTTTACTCAACAGGGATCAAGGAAACGGACACACATGGCTTTTCAAGTTACTACCTAGGACACATCAACGAGTAAGCAGCGGAGTACCTGTTCCTATAGAAAATTAAATTTAAGTTTACCTAGTTTCTAAGTGAAAATGTACCTGTGTTAATATATATTCGGTAAATGCGATGTTTTTCTTCAGTCGAGTATTAGTACAAGACACTGAAGAAGTCTGCACATTGTAGACGAAATACGCGTATCTGTCAAGGATAAGCAAATAAAGTAGTGGAATTAAATGGAAAATACTAATCCTTCTCTCTCTCATTATACAAAAAAAGTGTTGATGAATCATCAAAATCGTGTTAAATCTTCTTTTTATCTACTCAGCGTACGCGCAGCTAGCCACAGCAAAACACAATATTTCCTGCATCGTAGATAGAGTCGTCCCCCTCGGCTGGAATAGGCTTTGAAGTTTTTTCAAAAAAATTGTGAGTTTCCAAAAGGGTTTGGAACTCAGGTCTAATTTAGAAACATTATTTTCAAAAGTTCCTCAGGGCAGAGAATCGCTTTATAATTTGTTTTTGTAAATCCCGCCAGATAACTTTCATGGCAGGATCGCGTGTTCTTTGATATTGTCTCGTACGTACATTTTTCAGACGGATCAAGAGTTGAAGACCGTCGTCTATTATAGTTGAATCGAATTTAATCTCGCATTTTGGTACTAAGGCAGCTCTTGCTTCAACTATAGAAGCAGTCAGAGATTCAAGAGCATAATTAATGTCATCTTTGGCTTGCAAAGGAATGTTTGGATCGAAGTGATATTCCATAAATGTTCGATATTGTTCTCAATCAGCCCTATGGTAATTGAAAATAGAGCTGTTGGGATTACAAATTATTTCTTGGGATATTTCAAAAGTTACGGGAAGGTGGCCAGAACCAAAATCAGCATGGGTAACCAATTAGCTACAAAGTTGACATGAATCAGTTAAGACCAAAACAATAGTTGAGGAATTTCTTGTTCCAAAGAAACGGTCCCAAGCTAATCGATTCACCCCTCGAAACATAGAAAAATCCACTAACCCCTCATTTCATCGGTCAAACTTTCATAGCGAATCAAAACAAACATTGTGTAGTACTAGAATGGGGAACGTTATTCGGTTTGCGTGGGATCAATAGGTTAGTCAAAATCGTAAAATCGTAATCGTTAGTTTCGTATTGATTGTTGATATTACCACCGAAATTGCTTTGAGCATTTTTTTTTGCATTAAAATCACCAATAATGAAGAATTTAGACCTATGACGGGTAAGTTTCTGAAGGTCACCCTGGCCTACGCATTGGAATGGAAAATAGGCAGCTACAAACGTAAGTTGTCCAAATTTTGTTTTAACAGAAACTTCCAAAGTTTGGTTTCAAATGATGAAGAAAGAATGTTATGTTTGATTCGTCTATGAACAATGATGGCAACGCCACCACAGGCTCCATCAAGACGATCATTTCTATAAATGAAATAATTTGCGTCCCTCTTAGCCTTATGATCAGGTTTAAGGAACGTTTCAGTTATAACGCCATAATGCACGTTATGAACTCTCAAAAAGTTAATAGCTTGTCTTCATTATCTTTCAGAGGAGCATTCCAATTTAAAATATTTAATGATTTATAATCCACTACTGAATTTCAAAGTCATGACAATATTGTTCGCAAATTTAACTCCAGTTAACATCAAACATGGAGTTAGATTTAAGAATATCAGAATCATGTCAATCAATGATTTCTGTAAAAATTCCATTTTAGGAGCAGTAATGCTTCCTAAGTAAAATTTTTCAAAATTTCCGTTAGAATTACGTTTGTATTTTATGGTTAGTATTTTGATTTCTACCCTCTGCAATAGCAGCATAGGTAGCTCCATTAACTCGCTGAACATTGTTAGCAGCGAGAGGTGATATTTGTACCTAAGGGTACGAATGTAGAATTTGTTCCTCGCTGACCGTTGTTAACAGCAGAGGAATTTGTACCTGATCGGAAACGTGGAGCGTTTCCTACCTGTCGCTTAGAACGTAGGATCGCATTGCGAGTCTTGCATTCCCAAAAATTGGATTTGTAGTTTTCACCACAATTTGAAGATTTAAATTTTTTAGGATCTTCCTTCACAGGACAGTCGTCCTTTGCGTGAGAGGAAGAACCACAATTCATGCATTTAGCTGGCATGTAGCATTTTTTTTATTTCCGTGACCCCATCCCTTACGGCACTGTGTAAGGTTTTGAAAATTTCCTCCAGTCTTCCTGAAGTGTTCCCACTTCACTCGGACATGGAGCATAAGGCTAGCTTTTTCCAAGACCTTAAGGTTGTTTAGTTCACTAGACTGAACTAAATAAAAATCATTAAAAATCCCGTTGCGTGAATCGCCAGGACGGGCTTTCATTTTCATTTTGATTACTTGGAGTGGCACAACTCCAAGTAATGATCCAGGGATTCACCACTGGCCAGTCCTTTCATAACAACCTTGAACACACGTTCAGTTTTGGTGTCGTAAGTAAAAAAAATGTGCTTCTTCTCAGTAAGATACTTGAGAAGACATTTAAATCCGTCCAATGTTTCAGCCAATACACGGCATTCACCCTGACGTCCAATTTGTAGTGAAAACTTAACTTTCGCGAAATTCAAAAATTCCATGCGAAGAGCATGGAAATCGGAAGTGGTTATCACAATAGGGGAATCTTTTCCTTCTTGGCATTAAGCCGGGAAAGTTTACTAGAATTTTTCCGGGATGATGAATCATTCTCATCATCCGTGAGCAAATCAAATTCATTGCTCAAATTAATTTCATCAGAAGGGGGATCAAGAGTTTGCACTTCTTCTACTTCTTTTTCCAGTGCATCTCAGCAAACAACGCCATATTTTATAAGAGCTCAGTAAAAAGTATTGTTGAGCACTCGCCTGTGCAAGTATTCGCAAAAAATTGCCGAGATTTGACAAGATAATCTGAGTGTGCACAAAGAAATGCTAAAATGTTGAGTAGAATATTTGAAGGAAAAACATAAGGACTGCATACTATTTAAAGATTTTTGGGAACGAATTCGGATAAAATATCCTAGCAAATTCTGATGAAAATTTTGACGAATATTTGGAAGAAATTGGGCTGAATAATTTAATGAGACGATTAAAAAGCTAAAATATAAATGTTAGCAAATTCATGCAAGAATTATGAAAGCGTTGTAAAATGAATGCCAAGATTTCATTGGAGAAAATCTCGAGAGCAGTTGTTTTCAACCGGTGGGGAAGTTTAACAATGACTTGAAACGTCGATTTCATGCAGATAAGGACTCATTAAGACAAACCGACATCAGCTCTATCAGATGGTATCGTTAGTTTGGCTTCTGAGCTCTTTTCACAAGTTGCGCGAGATTTTCGTCTGTTCATCGAGATTAAAAGTAAAAAGTAACTTTGCTCTTAGCATCTCTCTTTATGACCCTCTATTGATAATCTCGTCTGGCTAATTATGTAAGTCACTATATAGGCAGCTCTGCCTTCAAAAAAATATAAGATATCTTCTTGGATTCTACAAAGAACTTAAAAAAATGTACCAAGGACTACCTACGCACGTACAAGTAACTCCGAAAATGGCCATCATCTAGAACGTTTGCACTTGCGCTCCTACCTTGTGTTATTAATGGTTTATAATAATTAATATATTAGTCAAAACAATATATTCTTTCCGTCTTTCAGAGCCGCTCCCAGCGATACGGTGCCATCGTGCCCTTGACCTCTGCCACTTATTGCTGTTTCAACTACTTTATCATCTCTCGAGGCGAACGCTATCGCCGTCTGCTTGCACGCTTATTGCGTGCGTTACCGCGGGATGCTGCAGCATTTCACCTGATCGCTCACAATGGGAACAGACACAACCATTTCGATAGATGTCCGGATCGACAGCCTGAAACCGAGTACCTGGTTGAGCTTCCGGGATATTTCCTACCGCGTAAAGGGAACCGATGGAAAAGACAAGCATCTGCTGCAGGAAATTAGCGGAAACTTCCGATCCGGGCGATTGACTGGAATATTAGGACCATCCGGGGCTGGAAAGTCTACACTGCTTAACATACTTAGCGGATTTAAGTGAGTAGGACCCCCATGTACAACTTTAGCTTTATTCTTACAAGTACTGTTTCTTTTCCAGAGTAAAAAACGTCTCCGGTGAAATCCACGTCAATGGCAGCCCGATCAAGCGGAAGAACTATCGCCGGGAGGTTACCTACACCTCTCAGGACGTAAGCATGCTAGGGAATTTGACCATTACGGAAAGCTTGGATTTTGCCGCTGAACTTAAGCTACCCAGAACCGTCTCCACTGCGGTGAAATCGAAGACCGTAAACGACATCATCAAACTGCTAGGGCTGCAGAAATGTGCCCACAATCCAGTGCATGCCATTTCCGGAGGGGAGAAGAAGCGACTGTCCATCGGTTTGGAGTTGATCTCCAATCCGAAGATAATGTTTTTCGATGAACCGACCAGCGGATTGGACATCATCGCCGCCATGCAAGTGATAGCCTACCTCAAGGACCTGGCCCTGAGTGGGCGATGTGTTGTGTGTGTGATCCATCAACCGAGTTCTAGTATTCTTCAGATGTTTGACGATCTGATGGTCCTGTCCGAGGGATGTTGCGTCTACAAGGGACCACTGGAGGAGTTGGTATGTACGTTCAAGGCCAGTGGGTTCGAGTGTCCAAATTATTACAACCGGGCGGATTTTGCTCTGGAGGTAGCCAGCTTGAAACATGATGGTAACATGTTGGATTTGATAGGCAAATGCAAGGAAGACTACCTGGTGCATGGGATGAATGTGAACGATAGTGTGAACACTAGCGAGAAAGATTCCATGCTAGTGGGAAGTGAATGTAGTAGTTCGGATAGTTCGGACACTGCGGATAGGCAGTATCCTGTGTCACAGTGGGATCAGTTTATGACGCTCACGAAAAGGACAACGTTGTGTACGTTTCGGGATATGCAGCTGATGAGAATGAGGATAGTGGCGCATCTGCTGGTTGGATTGCTGATTGGAGTGGTGTTCTGGGAGGTCGGAAACGACGGGTCGAAGGTGCTCAGCAATGCGTCGTGTTTGTTCTTTTTCCTGATATTTCTGTTCTTTGCCAATTCGATGCCACTGGTGATGACGTGTAAGCGAGTGTTTGGGATATGTTATGTTGGTTGAATGATTAGTAATGTTCTTTATGTTTCAGTTCCCCTTGAGACTGCCGTGTTTATGAGAGAGCGAATGAACAATTGGTATTCGCTGCCTGCCTACTTCTTTTCAAAGCTGGTCGCAGACTTTCCATTTCTGGTAAGAAACCGTAAATTTTCGTTTATGCGTTGCTTTTCTAAAGTTTTCGAATAATTGGTCATTCCAATGTGATGATTTAAAGAACGACATATTTCCCTATGAGCCTGTGTGAAAACCACAGCAAGTTAAGATTAAAACAGTAATGGTCGTTGGTAGTTCAGTAAAAAAATGTCTTCAGACGTTGAATTGACGAATCGCTTACTGACTTATGGACACTAGCATCATCATCAGGTAGGAGAATTTATTTAAGGTTTCGTAAGTTTACGTGGACGAGCATGCAGTTTCGATAAATTGACGTTTGAAGCCATTGTTTACAAAAGCACTTTCATCCATCCATTTCCGTGAAGTGATCCGATGCCAGCGCTGTGGTAATTGGGCACGCAGATAATTTTTTAATTAAACATTAAATGCGTGTATATAAAGTTTGACTAAAAGTAAATTGGTACGCACAAAAATATCTGTAATTCGTGATTCAATAAGTTTAAAAATCCCATTAATGGTTGCTTTTACAGTACTTTTATTAAAATTTCAAAGTTACAGCATTGGATGGTTACATTTCTCCAGTTCGAACGAAATCTCGAGCCTTCCTCTTGCTGTATCCCATGAGCGGCCGCACAGTGGAAACGGACACGGAATCAGCGCATTTCTTCCATTTTGCCCACATTTGTTGGATGTCCTTGACTGCCCCACCGCTTCGTTGAACTCGCTGTTTTCAAATTGCCCAGTATTTTTCGATTGGTCGAAATTCCGGGCAATTCGGTGGATTTATTAGCTTGGGGACAAAATCGATCTTGTTGGCAGCATACCACTCCAGAACCACCTTGGAGTAGTGGCAGCTGGCCAAATCGGGCCAAATGATGACTTTGCCACGTTTTTCCAGGCATTCTTCGAAGTAAACTTGAGATTTCATCGTCGAGGATGTCACAAATGGTTCCGTTTTCAGGCCAAAACTGCTAATCGCTTGCCAAATCATGGCCTTCTTTGTGAACTTATCGCCAAACACGAACTTCGTCATCGATCAATGTGCAGCCCTTGTGTTTCATCAAAACATGGTCGTACAAGAGCCTTGCACGCTTTTCGGCCACGGAATTCTGCTTCATGTGCCAGTTCGTATGTTTACTAGCTTTGTACGACTTGTATCCTTCCCTGGCAAGAATATTCCGCATCGTTTGAAAGATGGCGTTGTACCTTCTGGTCACATCTCGGATCGAAAGACCGGGGTTGGCTTTAACGCACCTTAACACCTTGCTGCGTAGCTGATGATCCCTGGTTCCAGTTTTTTGTAGGTCCACTGATTCCTTTCCACAGTCAGGGTTTCCTTGTAGGTTTTGAGCACTCGACAAACTGTTGTTTTCGGCATCTTCAGCACTTTAGCCAGCACGGAAAACAAGATCTACGGAAATTAAATCAAGGAAAAAAGAAGATAGCAACGTTATTCACTATAGATGCCAAATGATCTACTTTTGCATTACGTGATAAAACTACGAACCTTGGTCATGAAAAATGAGTCAGTTTGTCCTTAAGTAAAGTAATCGCATATCAGTCCCATCCTGAAATTCGATCGTCCAGGGGTTAAGTTACAGTTCTGCTTTTTGGTTCGTCATATTTTTCGCTTATGTTATAAAACATACAAGCATCATTGTAACTGATTTTATCTTGAAAAAATATCAATTAATTTAGTATGATTTTTCAAATATTTACATGGGAATTTCACTTCGTAATTTCAACCGCCATTTTTTAAATGCCTTCTTTTTCTATATAGGACTGTTATGAGATTATAGGCAGTGTACGATACGAGTACCCCGAATACAACGTATGACTAGTCCAATTTTGCATAGCATTTGTGATTTAATATAAGACGAACTATTCGTCATGAATTGTACAAATACATACATTATGTATACCAGTAGAATCAAGGAAAATGCAATGCAATTTTATTCATACCTAATTCTTTATGGATAATTTTAGCTAAAAATGCATAGTTGCTATAGAAGTATCGGATTTTGCCTCAGTAGTAGACAATATAATCAATTATATTATATTCTAATAATATAAGCCCTTTTCATATGGAATTTCCGATTAATCCAAGTGATTAGCTGCTGATTAGACAAAATTGAATAGCAAATTGAGCTTCATTGGATTCTGAGATGATTTTGAGCTTCACTGTTTTAGTTTTGTGTGAAAATGGCAAATTAAACAAAAAATCAGTTCAGGCATGAAAAAGGTTTTGATTCAATTTTTTTTCCCTTTAAAGTGTCCATCTCACGATGTATGGAGAGTTGGTAGTAAACATAATCTTGAGACAAAGTTTCATCCAAATCAAGCATGGCCATTTTTTCAAATCGACTTCAAATTTTAAAAATCGGTTTTTTTCAATGTAGGTCTCTAAAGGATTTGTTTTTGTATTTTTTTTTTCAAAAACTTGGAAAATTTCCTAAAAGTCATCCATATAACACATTTTTGTAGGAGTTGTCATTCTTCCATAATATTTTTTTGAAAAAAATCGACTAAAAAGTTTGGCCCTTCTCAAAGGTTAGTCTAGATACATTTTGGAAAAACTAAGTATATGCAAAGTGGCTTATTTTTTCAAGGTCAACACATCCAGAAAGTTTCATTGAAATCTGAGAGGGTGCTGCCAGCTCCGAATACGATTTGGCGCGAAATGCATCATATTCGTTATAAGTCAGTAGGAACATTTTAACTTTGGAGCTAGGCAGGGATGGAAAATCATTTACATTCATTTGCCTCTATCTTTTTTCATCAACAGAATACCGTTTAATAATGTATAAAGCTTTTGTAGCGTTTGATATTAACTACAACTTTTGTCAGTATCTAAAATCTGAATCTCTTATGCATGATGAAATAGAGCTGCTGGCAGAACATGTTATTGTTTTTCAGTGAATGCAATTTACATTCACTGAAAAACAATGGTGGGTTCTTATCGCTCTGATTCTTCATGCATAAGAGATACAGATTTGAGTTGTTTGCAAAAGATATAGCTAATATCAAAACCTACAAAAAATTCCAACACTTTTGTACGGAATTCTGTTGATGAAAAAAGTTAGAGATAAATTAATGTAAATGAATGCACGAAATGAATGTAAATAATTTGCCATCTCTGGAGCTAGGTAAACTTGAATCCAATCTTCTGTAAAAGTAGGCTCGTTGATTTGTTCTAGGTAATAACTTGAAAAGCCAAGTGTGTCCGACTCCTTGATCTTGTTGAGTAAAGTTGAAACCCGTTGTTTGTTGATCTCGAGGCTCTCTGCAACATCCAATTTTCATGGTTTGTTTTTTTTTTTTATTTTAAAACGTTGCTTCTATAGTGCACAGCAAAATATAACCCTACTTTATCGAACTGTATAGTTTGATTGTATAGGGGAAATGCAAGTAATGTCGGCCTAAGTGTCCCTAATTTGGGCCCATACATAAATTCAGCAATCGACTAAATTTTCAATAGCAACCAAAAATATTCATTAGTAACGTCCCAATAACGCGTTCATCTAGATAAAATTGATAAATGGCAGATTTTGAGCGATGGGCCCAATCTTAGATCCATAGGCCAACATAAGAGACATTTTCCCTACGAAATTACTTTAGCTTCCTTTCATTAGTTTTGTTTATGTACCCGATTCTGAATTACTCTATAGTTATGTACAATTCAATCTGTGCGTTGTTGTACGACTTTTGGTTGTCTAGGAAAACAATTATTTGTCAATCTACAGTCAAAGTGCGGGAATTCAGGAACGAAAAAGTAGATCACCGTTTGATAGGTTGCGTAAACAATGCCAGTAAACAAATCTGCCCACCCATTTCAGCGTTGATTTTACCAATTGTATTGTTGTATTGTGTATTTAAGGAATATGAATAATTTGGTTAATCGAAACAGTGTATTGAGGTAAAACAATCTTGTTCCAGATACGAGACAAGAAATGGGGGTCGTAGTTAGGAATATTGATCACACACGTCGAATTGTTTGCCTCTGGTTTACACTCGTCCTAATGAATGAAGCATTAAATAGTTTTTGAAGGTTAGGATCAGATCAAACATCGTGTCGTGACTTATTTGGTGAGTCATTTGTGGGCCTGCCCTGTAGGTTAGGAAATAGCAATCGAAGTCTGGGAGAAAATATGTTGGTAAAACCGGTATCTACAGGGTGATTTGGAGTAACTGTTACCTACAAAAAATGTCATAACGATTAACCGCATGCATATCAGTATATTTCAGATATAGGGGAAATGGATGTAATGCCGGCCAAAATGCCCCTAATATTGCCCCATACATAAATCCAGCAATCGACTCAATTTTCAATAGCAACAAAAATATCCATTAGTACCGTCCCAATGACGCGTTCATCTAGATAAAATTGATAAATAGCAGATTTTTAGCGATGGGCCCAATCTTAGATCCATAGGCCAACATTAGAGCCATTTACCCTACTAAATATATAACCATTAGCCAAGCATACTTAAATTCAAATCTCTCTATTTACCTTACTTACCACCCAAATTTGTCACGAAGCACTTCTGGAGTCCTGGCGATGTGCTTAAGCCCTGCAATTGAATGGATTTTCTAAGCATGGTTCCTTTGTACCTTTATAATGTTTCATTCACTCGAAGAGATTTCAGCTTATAAAAGGTACAATACGAATTTATACAGATTTATTGCATTTTTCTTTTTCACGTCTGCTTGAAAGAGAAAACGTATGAAATTTCTTATCCTTCTATCAATGCAAACTGACCTATGTACACACTTGATATCGCTTATATCGTACAGAGGTACCACTTGCACACAGGGGTAAAAACGGTTGACATTTTTTACTACACTCACTTCGTTGTCGTGCGCGACAGTCTTTTTGTATTCGTACACTCGTGCTCTAACGTCGTCTTCCTTCACACATCACAAACGGTAGAATAACATTCGAGCAAAAAGAAAATCTTCAAATAACTATCATATGACATGTGTGATTTCGTTGTAATTCCTTAATTTGGTGTAAATGA